CTTTCTTTCTTTCTCTTTCCTTCCTTCCTTCCTTCCTTCCTTCCTTCCTTCCTTCCTTCTCCCTTTCTTTCTTCCTTTCTAGTTATTAAAGGGGAATCCTGCTTCTTATGGTATGTGTCTATATTTCTTAAATAGGTTTACAAAGAGGCTCAAGAACTTTCATGCACAAGGACTCTTAAAATGTGATTAGTTTGGTTATTGTTCAGAAAATGATCATAGTATAGATTTATTTTCTAGTTTTGCTATTCTGTCTCAACAATACTACTTGGGAATACTCAGAGATATTTGGAGATAAAAATATATCTTATAAAGTATGTAGTGTTTTATTGCTTGGCTTGCTGGTAAATCAATGAATACTTAAGCAAAATAGAAATAACTATTTTACCAATTACTAAACCCTCCAATTCATTGAAATTAAGTATATTCCTAAATAACCACGTTAAGGCCTTTCTTAATTGGACTTAAAAAAACTTACATCAAATATATTTTCACAAATGAATTCAGCTGGTCTTACCTTTACGTCTTCTGGAGCTGGCAGAAAGTCAGGGTCCTAGAGCAAGAGAAAATTAGTTCTGAGTTATTTGTATAAGTCAAGAAGCTCCTTTCATACTAGTTGAAGAATCTGGCTTAAATTTTGTTGTGACAAGTGTGGCCTTACCAAGTCATTCACATAATGTTTCAGCTGGTCAACAATGTCTATAAGGTGACGCAGTCTAATCAAGAGGCGATCTTGCCCTTGAGAGTTCGATTTATGGGCTGCTGTCCCTGAGAAGATGACCATCAGGCAGATGACTATTCTCTCCATGTCGCCAGGACTGGGTCTCATAAGTGCCAGTGGAGCAAGACCTTGGTCTCTGTTTTCACTTCAGTCAGTGAACAGGTTGTCAGTAAAGCTACCTATTTATTCATCCTTCAGGGAGAGGTAAAGCCCTCCCATTGCAGCCTGGAAATCTTTGTAAAATGGATGAATGTGAGTAACTCTTTTTTCTTTTCCACTGGCTAGGTATACGTGTGCATGTGCTAATGCGTGGGGGCAGGGATTGATGGAGTCAACGAAATGTGCCCCATCTGCATCTTAGACAGGAAAAAGAGACAAATGGGTGAATTCCAATGTTCAGCCTGAATCAAGAAGTGTGCACAGTAAACAGCAGGTACTACAAGACTTCAAAGAAGTAAACAAAACACTTTGATCTCTCTATCTCTGCCTCCTTTAGCATCTTACCTGTTCCTTCTGACAGTCATAAGGGCACTTCAGTAATGAGTAAAGTGGCAACATGTGCTTTTTTGCAGGACTTTTTCTTATGGTAATAACTGTGCCTTTTGACTGAAATCATCCAGTATTCCATCATAAATGTAGGAGGAGAGCTACCTTTTAGGAAATTTTAAATAGCTGGGGTATTTTCCAAATTAGCAAGAATAGTTTAGGTTCTTAATCAGGTGCAAGGGTTTAAAGTAGAATTTGCTTCCAACTCTTCTCCAAAGCATCTTTGAATAACATTAATCTTGGCTTCTAACGTTTTACTTTAAATCTGACTTATTCGTGTTATCCTACCCCCAATCAAGATCTCACTCAAACGTCATTTTAAAAAACTCCCTAATGTCTGTGTCTTCTATATAATGCATCAGTTAAATGAATGGAAAGTGCTAATACTCTTTCTTCTCCAAACCAAAATTTTATTTCAAACAGCAAAATCCAGAAATACCCATAAGTGATCTTTTCCTCTGTAGGTAGTGTTGCTTATCACAATATTACTATTAGATGTTATTTTCTCTGGATATGAACAACACATTTCTAAGTATTACCAGGTAGAGGTTAATAAAAGACTCAAAGTCCAGAAGTGGTTTTATCGTCCTCCTCTCTGCTGCTTCTCCGATTCCTGCTACTCCTTACTCATTTGAGAAAGCTGAATGTGTTATTCTAGAATCACTGAAGTAGTGTTGTACCACACTCAGTTGGGTCTTACAAATCAAACTTCTGACTATAGGTTTTATGTATCCATTTATTTATTCATCTATTTCATCACATGCTTACAGCCATACTTTTTTCTAAAATGTAATTTAGCCAAGATAAATTAGACTTCGGATTTGATTTGCTTTGAAGGTTGAATATAATCTTTTACCACAGAATATCTATTCAGGAGTATTCAGGTTTGGTCTTACAGAGTAGATTAAATTTCTTACCCTATGATCAAGAAATCTTCACTATAATCATTAAATTCTATAAGGGAGTGAGCTGTGTAAACCCATGAAATGCTTCTGGCCTGGGGGTTGCCACCTGGTACCTGCGCCATCTTTGTACATGCTTTCCTTATCTGCTAAAGAGATGTGAGTCTCCTTGAAGATACTAACCACAGGGGTTAAGAGCTCAAGTTCTAAAGCAAAGTGCTTGAATTCAAACCCAGGCTATAATAATTAATTGCACACATGCCCCTGGATATGTTATTGCAAAAGGAAGATAAGCATAGAATCTAATCATAGGGTTGTGGTGAGGCTTAAATAGACATTCCAGGTAAAAGGGCCAAGTACAGCACAGGACAGATTCCCAGGAGATTTGTGTGCTGACCACGAATGAGGAGGGAGAGGAGAATTTATAGAAGCCTAGAGAGGCTAAACTGATCCAGGGAAGAAAGAGCATGGGTAGGTCAGCCAAAATGCACGGGTGTGGCTACACTGGTCATAAAAAGATCAGAAGTCTTTGGTGCTGCTTAGAGAGAATCTCATCTGGACTCTGGAGAGCATCACCACCACCCTAGACACCCCAGTCCCTCCCTGACGCCTCCCAGCCCTCTGCAATTCATCAGCCAATATGCCAGGATCTCCAAGGTCCCGCTCTAGCATCAGAACCCAAAGACCTTTCTGAAAGTCTGATTCCCTGCTCTAAGTGGCATTTCAGTTGTTAAGCATTTTGAATATCACTGCTGTTGTGGTAGGCTGACTAATGGCACCTCAAAGGTGTCCACACCCTAATGCCTGGAGACTGTGTGTTAACCTTCACAAATGACAAAAGGGACTTTGTAGATGTGATTGAATTAAGGATCTTGAGATGAGGGATTATTCTGGACTATCTAGGTGACCCAATGTAATCACAAGGGTACTTATAAGAGGAAGGCAGGCCTGTCAGAGTCAAAGAAGATGTGATGACAGAAGCAGAGGTTGGAGGGATATGGGGCTAGAAGCCAAAGAATACAGGTAGCCTCTAGAAGCTGGGAAAGACAAGGATCAGACTCTTCCCTAGAGCCTCCAGAAGGAATTCAGCCAATACTTTGATTTTAGCCCCATAAAGCTCATTTTGGACTTCTGACATCCAGAACTGTAAAATAATGAATTTGTGTTGTTTTAAACCACTGATTTTGTTGTAATGTGTTACAGTAGCGATAGTAAAGTATGGATTTTTTCCTGCTGGAGAAACAGTGGGAAAGAGAGGAAGGGGTGATAAGGAGAGAACTTATGAAGGCTAGAATTTGGGCTTTTGGGGGATGCAGGTAGAGGGGAAAGGAATCTTGAAGAAGAGAGGGAAGTAAGATTCGTGGCGCTACCATGGAGCATGGGATACTAGAGATAAGAACGTATGATGAGGACTTTCCAGGAAGTCTGGCGGTGTTATAACAACTTCTTCCCGGCACTGAGAAGGCTTGCTCAGGAGTGACAGTGTGTTTCCAAGTTATGGAGCCCAATTTGTATTTCACTTAAATTTATTACTGTCTTGAGACAGACCTCAGGGTGGGAGTAAAGAGGATCAGATTGACTTGAGTTATGTATTCTCTGCTTAGAAATATTAACTTAATAGCATCATTTCATTGGGGTCTTAAAGGCTTTTTACTCATTAAATTATGATTTTTTTATTTAGATTCAGCCAGTCCTGTCCTAACACTTGTATTGAATATGAGAATTTATTTCACCTTGACTAACATACCAGGGAACAATTTGAGTATAACCAGAAATTTATATTTCCTAACATGCGATTT